AAGGCAACACACTACGTGAAATGGCCCTAAAATTGCATGTCTCTCATGAAACAATACGTAAACATCTAAGGAATATCAGAAAACTCCATAAAGAAAGTGTTTGGGTGCCTCACAAACTCTCCAATGATCATTGTTTCCAATGTGTGAATGTTGCTTCATTTCTTCTGGCACATAATGTGCATGAACCATTTTTGAACAAAATTATCATGATTGCTGAAAAATGGATTTTCTATGCAAATATTAAATGCCAAAACATTGGCTCAGTCCTAGACAAAAACCACTTCCAACCCAAAAACCTGGACTCCATCTGGAGAAAGTAATGCTTTGCATTTGATGGGACATCAGAGGAGTAATTAATTTCAAACTTCTCAATCCACAAGGAACTGTCAATGCAGAGATCTATAGTCAGCAACTGGAACGTTTAAATCAAGCCCTTCATCAGAAACGCCCTTCACTCATCAATCAGAAAGGTGTTCTTTTTCTCCATGACAATGCACGTCCACATGTGGCATGTTTGAAGCAACATAAGATTATGGAGCTGGGTTGGGAAGTTCTCTTCCACCCACCATATTCTCCAGATATGGCACCATCAGTTTTCATCTTTTTTGTTCACTGCAACACCATCTTAATGGGAAAACGTATGCAAATGTGGAAAGTGTTAAAGAGGACATTGACATAATTTTTGCTTCAAAGCCAAGAAATAATAACCTGATTGTAAGATGGAAAAGCATTATCAATTAGAATGGAGATTATTTCATTTAATGTGTTTTGTTTTGATGTATAAGTTGTTTGGGTTTTTCATTAAAAAAGCAACATTAATTTCTTGACAACCTAATAATTTAAGAACAACAAGGGACCTGTTGGTTCATCTAGGCTGTCCCATCCATTAAACTAGACTTTGAAATAAAAAATAAAACTCCCAAAGCCAACCTTTATCATTCAAGTATTTTTCAAGCATTCCCTTAAACTCCATTAAACTATCAGAATCCACCACATCTGAGGGCAACCCATTCTACCCTGTTAGAAAAATAAAACTGTCTTAGCTGAAGATACTCCTACCATGCCAAAATTTATATTTGTGTCTCCTGGTCCCACCACTCTTACCATTAGGTGCAAAAAAAAATGATATATCAGTATTATCAATTCCCTTAACAGTCTTAAACACCTCAATCAGACCTCCTCTAACTCTTCTTTTTTTCAAAAGAAAACAATTTCAAAAGCATAACCTGCCCTCATATGACAACCTTTCCGTGCCAGGTATCATCCTAGTATTCCTCCTCTGAACCCTTTTCAATAATTCAGTGTCCTTCTTAAGGTAAAGAGGTCAAGACTAAACTCATTACTTCATATGTGGACTAACCAGTGACCAATACAATTGAAGTTATAATGTCTTTAGACTTGTATTCACTATTTCTGTAGCTAAAATCTAAAGTTCTGTTTGCTGTGCAAATAGCAACAACACATTGCTTGGATGGCTTAAGAGCTGGTTCAACCAAAACACCAAGACCTTTTTATCTTTCATAGCACTGTTAAGATTGTTCTCATCAAAATTTTACTTATAATTCAAATTAATATATCACACGTGCATTACCTTGCATTTACTATGGTTAAAAGTCATCTGTTATTCAGCCAACTCACCAAATAATCCAAATTATTTTGTAAAGCAGTAGCAGCAGCATCCTCATAGCCAACAATGCCTAAAACCCTAATGGTACCAGTAAATTTAAGTAACTTATTGACCAAAATAAACAATAGATAAATAATATTCGTAAAGAAATTCAGTACCATATTCTAAAAATCAAGACATTTTTGTTAACAAAGAAAGAAAAACTAAGTGTTGAAATAATGAAGATTCAGTTGACAGCTAAGGTGCTTGTGATAGTGTTGACTTTAAAACATCAAATGGGGTGTTTTGTACATTAATCTTATTTATTTCAGAAAATATTGTGATCCTCAAATGACTGCATTTGAACCAGAAGCTTTAGGTAACTTAGTGGAAGGAATGGAATTTCACAAGTTTTACTTTGACAATGGTAACTTCTTAATCAACCTTTTTAATATTTGGAGTTGTGTTTGATACTGTACTTTGTCTTGTATATTCAAATCTCCACAAGATTTTAATTAGATAACTGTTATTTATCAGAAAATCTTCTTAAGCTATACTTTGTTACTGTTTTTTTTTTATATTATTATTTTATTTGCTCTGAGGTTTGTTGTATTCTATGTTATAATTTGTGTATGTTTATATAAACTCCCGTGTTAATTAGAGGGGTGTGTGGAGATGTTCCAGAGAGCTATTTCATCATTTTAAACACCTTGTAATTGTATTCTTATTTAGTTCAGTTTCTGAGCCCTATCAGTGGAGTGTAACATTTTTCTGTATGTTAAGAATGCAGCACTTTTAATTAGAAAGGTGTAGATATGTTCCAGAGAGTTATTTCATCATTTTAAACACCTTGTATTTTTATTCCTATTTAGTTCTGTTACTGAACCCTAATAGTGGAGTGTAAAATTGTTCTCTGTGTTGAGAATGCAGCACTTTTTTATTTTGTTTGAATGATGTAAAGTAAAAAATGACAAAAAGAGCATTATAATAGTTTTCTTTATGTTATAATTAATGTATAGATTGGTAAGTATTCTATAATTGAAAACATATTCAACATAAAATTATCATCATTATAATTCAACTTCCTTGATTTGCCAGAAGTTCATCTTGCATAGTTAAACAGTATATATATAAAGTATTTTTTATTTTAATTTCATGTCTTACCTTTGATATTTCAGTTTGTTAAAAACTGTCAGATTTAGCAACCTAATTTTTAAAAAAATGTTTAATTCAAGTTTACTTATTTTTTTTGCATGTTTAGATGTGATTAAAACAACTTGTTGGTAAAGAAGTTATTTTATGATTTTATTATCCTTTGTCCTGAAACCAAGGAAATTGTTCTAGTGAAATTTAGGTGTAATATTGATCAAAAGTCAGTTACTAATTTTAAAATTGTGACTGTCACAAATTTGGCATATTTCTATGTATTTTGAAACCCTATGTTTTGAACTTAACAGAAGTTTGATTTCAGTCATTTTTGTTTAGACTGGGCATAATTCCAGTAATAGGCTTATAAGCAGTGTTTACAATTACTCAAGAATACCATGAGAGTGCCATTGCTGTGCACTTTTTTTTGTTGTTGTTTTTTTTCATATTTTTTACTTTGAGTATTTAATTTTTTTATGTTACTTTTTTTACATATTACAGTTAATTTCAAATTTTGATTGTGATTGTAAAAACTCTTGCTTTTACCTTCTGAATGAAATTCAATCATGGTTGTACTTTAATGTGTTGATCTTATTCTGCCTGCTATTATCTTCTATGTTTAGTTTATTTTTAAATCATGCAATTTCCAAGTGTTTGTATTTATCAGATTGTCATTTTTCATTTCACTTTGTTCCATGGTTTTCCAAGAATTACTAGAATGTTTTATTTTATATATATATATATATATATATAAATTTATACTCCTTGACACCTCTTGGTTTATTCTCAGTGTCTGGTGTTTGTATCCTGTTTGTGTATTGTGTCTGTTTGTTTTATGTTAATTAAATCATGAGAATGACTAATGCTACAAGAATGGATTGATATCATAATGATTTATGCCAAAGAATACAACTCATAGTGAATCATGGCTACATTTGTTACCAAACATCATCTTGAATGGCCACAGCGAAGTCACACTACCATTGACAGAATTGTGACAAAATTGTTGACCCTTTTTCTTTTTCTCAACTGAAAGTTAGATGGGCTGAAGTATTGAGAGATGCTTCAAGATGAAATTATCCCTGCTTTAGGTAATATTTACCTGGATCCCAACCATGAAATTTATTTCCAACAGATAATGCTCCTACTCATAGCAGTAGAGAGGTTCAGGATTATCTTATCTTAACCCATCGACTATGACTGCTCTAAATGGGCACGGAATTTTTGCAAGCCGTACACCGTATACAGCACACTTGCATTCCAGATGCAGATCGTACCCTTTGTGGCAAATCAGCAGTCAATGGTTAATGGTGTGTTCCCTAATCAGTGGATTGCCGAAGAGGGTCATATGAATGACTGCTACATTCTTGTGACCTCACCCTCTTTGACTTCTTGTGGATATTTCTAAAAAACAAGTTCTTCAGCACACTACCAAATGATATTAAAGAAGTAGCAGTGAGAATAATTGAAAAATGCACAAATATTACTCCAGATCAGTTAATGAATATCAAACAATCTTCTGTGATCAACTTGTATGGTGCCTTGAGACAAGTGGAGTCCAATTTGAACAGGTGTTATAAACTTTTAGATTAAATTGTAGGATATGTACTAAATGTTTACATAATACCATAGAATAAGTAAAAAATGTAAACAAAATACAGCAAAATATGCTGTAAAACTATTAAACAGGGACTTTGGGAGAAACCATATGTTGTATGAACTGTGTTTTCCCTGCTGTATACTTGCTTATTTAGATAAGTGCAAATAGATCATTTTCTATTTTTTTAAAGACTTAAGCCTAACTGTAGAAAACAAACTGTGCGTACATTTCTATACACAAATAAATATATTTGTATATATATATGTGTGTGTGTGTGTGTGTGTACATTGGTATATACAGTGTATTTCTGTTGAAATTTGTTTATGGAGTTAAACATATTTTACACAAGTGTTTATAATTGCTTTTATAACATGAAAAAATTGTTAAAGTATCTAAAAACATAATTAAATTAGCTAAAAATAAAATGGGCTAACTTGTCATATGATTTCAAATATAATTGTTTTAACCATGTTTAATTCATTCTAAACTTACCTTTTATTTAATCCTATGTGTTAGTTAATCGCACATAATTAATGTCAACTCTTTTGTATCCTCTACTGTCAATCACAAGTTATACATTTAGTACTGTGTGATCAAATCTGTGGTTGCACATTCTCCATTGCTTTTCTTATTTTGTATTCCTAAGATGCATTATTACTACATTTAGGCATGTAAATGTGTGTGGGGGAGAGCAATGGGTGAACAAATTGAACTCAAATGATGATACACATGTAAATGTGTGGGGGAAGAGTTATAGGGGAACAAGTTGAATACAAATGACAACAGACATGTAGTATGCAGAACGATTAGTGTTATATGAGCTAGACACTAATGAAAAAGATATTTTTCATTACAGGTAGATGCTAAAGGAGAGTAGGAAAAAACGAGGAATAAGAATGATAATAAAATATATGAAATATGCAGCAAGAGCAACAGAAAATACAAAATAGAAATGATCTTAAAAGTGATACAAAAATGATATTTTAAATGTGTGTGGGGGAGAGTAATGGGTGAACAAATTGAACTCAAATGATGATACACATGTAAATGTGTGGGGGAGAGTAAAGGGTGAACAAGTTGAATACAAATGACAACACATTATGAGACATGAGATCATACATATAAAGTTAAATGGGAAAAATACTTGTTTCACAGTTTTTTCTAATCACCAAATTTCAACACCTTTGCTGATTTTCTCAACTAAATAATTATTTTTAAACTCGGACTCTGTTATCTTCTGAAAAATTTGTGATTAGTGTTTTTTGTTTTATGGCTTTTTAAACTTGCATAATTTGTTATTGTAGCTTCGGGGAAGTACTGCAAAGCCCTCAATACCACTATTTTAAACCCTACTGTACACCTTCTTGGTGATGATGCTGCATGCATTGCATATGTAAGACTTGTGCAGTACATGGACAAGTAAGTTTCAACAAAGGATTAATTTCCCATATTTTTATTTTTTATTTGATAACATTGTATGCTTTCAAGTAAACTGAGTCAAACATGCTCTTGTTCAGGAAGTGATGAAAACACCAAGAAAGTTTAGTGTTGGAATGCTTATTGGAATGGTAGTATAAATTATAAAATGTCTCAATCAACAAATGAAGAACGATACCTTTTTTTTATTGTTGGTAACTAACTTTCCAGATATTCTTTGAATAAAAATAAAATGTTGCAAGGTTTAAAATAGAAGTCACTACTGAATCGTAATAAGCAGGGGTTTAACCAGAAAAATGATGTGTTATTAATATTGATACAGAACATCTTGTGAAATATCTACTTAGAAAAGGGAAGCATAGTTTTATCTGTTTTATCAGTGTGTAAAAGAATGAGAATTTGGTAACAAAGGAATAATGAAAATAATTAAACATACCCAACATGTGTGAATTAGCCATTCATATAAACTCAGAGAGACAGATTATGCTAATTAATACTGATGTTTTAAATATTTTCAACATCTATCTTATGCTTGTCAATGAATATTTCAGTAATGATGAAAATATTGCCAGATGGTGTTGCAAGTATGACACCAGTTTCAGAAACTTGATTTATCCTTAGTACAAGAGAAGATTGAATTTTACATCCAATAACTTAAATGTTCAATAGTAACCCAAGTCTGTGTAAAACAAGTTAATGTTTTTTTTAAATAACTACATGTAACTCTCTCATTTTCATTTTATCACCTATTTCCTCTATATCTTAGGTCTGGAGTTGCTCATACACAACAATCAGAAGAAACTCGGGTGTGGCATAAAAAGGATGGAAAATGGCAAAATGTTCATTTCCATCGCTCTGGTTCTGGATCATCTCCATATACCACAGTCCACAAGTAGACAAGGAAGTTATAAGGAACTTCTCTTGATTAATTCATGCATTCTTGCTTTTTCAAACTTCAGCTTTGGTCTGTATTTTGGATAAAACTATGGAACTGTTTTTATTTTCTGTTTGTATATGGTAAACTAAATTTTAATTGCAATTTTACCAGCAGTCTCTCCTGATATTTAAGCAAGAAAAGCACAATGTTCTAAAGGCATGTATGACAAGTGACAAGCATTTTTTATTTATGTGTGTGTGTGATTTTATTTCTTAAATTAATATTATTACTCAGCTTTTTTATGAGAAATATAGACAATTTAAATTCCATAAATATAAATCTTTTGACAGAAAAAAAAATTGTCCTGAACTTTTATCATTAAATATTAACAATTAGTCATTGAATAAGAAATTAGTATCTGGAGTTATTATTGGCTATTATGATTACTTAAAACAGAATCTCGTATTGATTCATAAGATTGTTCCATTATTAAACCAGATCTTTAAAGGTTTTTCACAACATCTTAGTTACGGTGTTAAAATTGTGTTTTTTAAAGTGCTTGATCTAGTTCACTTTTGTTCTTGGATTAATAAAGCAGGATACATAGTTGGTTTAAAGCAATACAATTTGTGTAAAGCTTTGTTTCATTTAGTAAAAATCTCTTGTGTACTGATTTACATTGTACACTTTTCTTTCATGCATTGTATGTGACATTAATATTTGTTTTAACTTGTATGAAGTTTTTTTTAATAATGATATGGATTGTTTTAGGTAGCATACCCTAGCTATTTAGGTAAATGGTAATACAAAAAATGGAAATGTAAACCATCATTGGATATTAATATTTGAAACCTTTTACTCAGGAGGTGGTTGCTAAAATATAATGTTTGTTGTTACTGTGATATTTTTACCAACAAATGTCAATTTCAAGATTTGTTTTGTGTCTCATTATTAGAATTGATGTTCTAACACCAGATAGAATATTTCTTAATATGCTTGAGAGCATACTTGATCTGAAAAGTTGTCTACTGCTAACACTGGATGTTTTCAGTGATTCATTTGAATGCATTTATTTGGGTACATATATATATGTGTGTGTGTGGGTGGGTGTTGTCTGTGCAAATAATCTTAATAGAACACATTAAGACCTAAATCAATAGCAAATTTATTGTGAAGGTGATATTGTTTGTATTGACCAGCTATTTGAAGTTTACATAAATTTTAAAATCATTTTCAAATTTTTGAAATTCCAGGAAAGAAAATTTGAAAAATAGGCCCACTTACTTTAAATGTATAACATGATTAAGAGTGCTAGTCTCAGCAAGTGCAAGACCCTGAGCACCAGGGTAATCTGATCAGTGGCACTCTAATAGGTTATATGTAGTGGGGGGGTTGAAGGGGGATTTTCCTCCAAAATAAAACTTGTATTATTATTGAAACTCAACATTACTGTCAGTTTAAGGAATTAAACAACTGCCATTTAAAAATGGGGAAAAATTATTATTCCTTCAAAATAGCATGAGGCAACAAACAGTTATTTGTCTCTCTTGTGCCTAAGGCCAGCAATGATGACTGAAACTGACATTACAATGTAATGTTGAAGGCTGTTATTGAGAATGTAACAGTATGATGTTCAAGACCATTGATAAGAATTTAACTGTATGATGTTCAAGACTGTTGATGAGAATCTAATTGTATGGTGTTAAAGACCATTGTTGGGAATGTAACTGTATGGTGTTAAAGACTGTTGTTGGGAATGTAACTGTATGGTGTTAAAGACTGTTGTTGGGAATGTAACTGTATGGTGTTAAAGACTGTTGTTGGGAATGTAACTGTATGGTGTTAAAGACTATCGTTGGGAATGTAACTGTATGGTGTTAAAGACTATCGTTGGGAATGTAACTGTATGGTGTTAAAGACTATCGTTGGGAATATAGCTGTATGATGTTGAAGACCGTTGTTGGGAATGTAACTGTATGGTGTTAAAGACCGTTGTTGGGAATGTAACTATGTTGTTAAATATCGTTGTTGGGAATGTAACAATGTTGTTAAAGACCGTTGTTGGGAATGTAACTGTATGGTGTTAAATATCGTTGTTGGGAATGTAACTATGTT